TTCCAAATGTGTGCAGAATTCAATCTACCAAATTTCCCCATCTCTATCATCACCACCTTCATCTCTCCCCAGGATCACTGCACTATCCTCCCACTTGTCACCACCCTTGGAACTGGGAGTGCTGCTATATTTATTTACTTAAGATTCCCACACTTATGTTTGCAGGAGTAACGCTGGTCAATATGTTTTCTATCTTGTATAACGCTTTAGTTTTTCTTTTAGGAATAAACTTCCCTCTTGAGATAAATTATCTTCTTAGCTATTGAAATACATACCTTATATAATGTAGAAATTTTCTCCTTTTTCATTTTTGGAGGAATCACCCAATAAAAACTTTTAGGCATCATGCATTTTAAGGGGACTTTTACCAACTTTTCAGTTTTTTTCACTGGTTAACAAGACACTTAGTTTTCTTAACTCTTCTTCAATAAACTTTAATAATTTATAATTTCCTTAATATTGGCCATTAAATCTAAATTTTCAAATGCATGAGTATATATTAATATGATTCCCTATTAAATTATTAATAATCTCCTTTTTGCCTATAGTTATTTTCCCTTTCTCATCCCTTAATGTTTGCTAGTTTCTTATTTCTTGAATAGATTGCCAAAACCATCTACTTTATTGATCTGTTTAAGAAAATATCTTTTGCATTATTAATTAAGCCTATATTTTAAATTGTGGGCCATTAATTTCTTCTCATTAATTCCCTCTGCTTTTAAAAATTTTGTTTTTGGTATTCCAAAACTGAATAAAGGACTATGCATTTTCGTCCTCTTTTGACTGTACACCTTAGGTTTGGTAGATTTTATTCCCATTTTACATTTGAGGTTTTTAAAGGCTATTTTGAAAGGTCACCCAGATAAAGACTGGCAAAGAACAAATTCAAATCTGTGTGCTTTACAATGTACCAGAGAAGTTCTTTTGAATATGTCACACATAAAACATAGATGTAATTCACACAAAAGGAAACAAAAAGTTAACAAGGAGCAATGTGTTTATTTGCTTTAAATAAAAATAGTAAATCAATGTCATGCCACTGACACATGAGAAGAGATATGACTGCTAATTAAATTGGGTTAAAATGAAATCTTAACTGGAACAACAATTTGATAAACCAACTTAGGAACTTGTAGTATGTGTTATAAAATATGTATGTCTTTTCACCAAGTAATCTCAGATCTTAGCATTCTTCTTCAGGACATATTTCATAAGACTAAGACTTCAAAATGAAAATTAGACTACACTGAAACATACTGATAACATTCTGAGGGCCAAAGACAATACCCAAGGATTCTCCTCTGTCCATGGAATTTTCCAGGCAAGAACACTGGAGTGGGTTGCCATTTCCTTCTCCAGGGGATCTTGCCGACCCAGGATTGAGCTTGCATCTCTTGCACTGCAGGCGGATTCTTTACCACTGAGCCACCACCCCAAGAATTCGAGAGCTGGTTAAATTTGTTACATTCTAGCACTTAGCACCCAAATACTCTTGATGTCTTCTCTTCCTTTTCTTGTCAGAAATCTTTTTGATTTATAAGCTGGAGCCTTACATCAAGAACAATAATAGTAAAAGAAAAGACTAATTATACTGACTAAAGGCTCTGACTGACACACAGCCCTGGAGGCCCCTGCCCCGACGGCTGTGAGCAGGGCTCTCCCCCTCCTCTTTCAGTCCTGGCCCGCGGGACTGCATTCTATGGCGTGGGCCTCCCTGCCCCAGGGCCTCTGCACTTGCTGCGGCTTCTGCCACAGGGCACTCCCCCCAGCTCTTAGCATGCCGCCTTCCCCCACCCCCCGTAACGTCCTCCCAGCTACCTGGAAGGCATCGCTGGCTGAACACTCACACCCCCAGCCCCACGTCTTCTTCGCTGGCCTTGTCTCTACAGTAGGCCGTTCCCAATCCACCATCACTCTCTACCGGCTCCTTCTGCCTTCTATGTATTTATTTATTCTGTGTACTTAGCATTTAAAAGTTTTTCAGCTGTCTCCGCCGCCCTCTCCCACACCATGAGAACTGCGATGCTATTTTGCACTATATTCTTAGAACCTAGAGCGATGCCTGGCACACAAATGGTCACTGAGCGTTTGTCTACGGAGCAGAAGTCGGGAGGAGGATGGAGGCGGGGAGGGAAGGAGCAAGAGAGGAAGAGAGAGGAGGAGAGAGGACCGAAGTCTCACTGATCTGACTTTACTTCGTGTCAAAAATATCTTAGTGCACCAAAAGATCAATAACCATAAATGCCTTGGGGTTTCTTTGAAAAGCTGAATTCTCCCTAAATTCTATTACAGACACGGAACTGACAAGACCTACCTGGCCTACCCTGTCTTACTGGAGTCTTACATGGGGTCAGACACGACTGAGCGACTGAACTGAACTGAGAAATACAAAGCGCACCAAGATTAAACAGTGAAGAAAAAGAAAATCTGAAGAGACTCATAACTAGTAGGAGACTGAATCAAAAGAAAAATAACTTGACCAAGAAGAGCCCTGGACCTGATGGCTTCACTAGTGAATTCTACCAGACATTTTGTTGTTCACTGTTCAGTCACTAAGTGATGTCCAACTCTCTGTGACCCCATGGACTGCAGCACACCAGGCTTCCCTGTCCTTCATTATCTCCCAGAGTCTGCTCAAACTCATGTCCATTGAGTCCGTGATGCCATCCAACCATCTCATCCTCTGTCATCCCCTTCTCCTCCCGCCTTCAGTCTTTCCCAGCATCAGGGTCTTTTCTGGTCAGTCACTTCTTCGCATCAGGTGGCCAAAGCTTCAGCTTCAGCATCAGTCCTTCCCATGGATATTCAGGACTGATTTACTTTAGGATTGATTGACTAGTTTGATCTCCAAGATTGCACTAGGTATTTCTAAGTTTCACTTTAAGTTAAAACATTGGTATGCCATTTTATAAAGCAAATTCTGAATATCAGAACCGACTGAGATCTGGAGTACATTCAGGGAAAAAAAAAAAACTTAAAGATCCTGGCAACCGATGTTCTAGATCATCAGCTCATGTATTTAGCATTTCTCAGCTGGAGATGCATTTCTCTAAATCTGGTATAAAATATGAGACTCTGATAAAATAATAGCATCTTATAAAATAATAACAAAGAAAAAAAGCACTACGTATAGTAGACCATCACTTCTAATGGCCTTAAAGACAGCATGCGACATTGTCTGCATCTCCTCTCTGCTCACCCAACAGAAGGCATGGTTATAAGACATACGCAGCCATCTGCACCCATGATGCCTGGTGGCAGTATTTTGCAAAATTAAACTATGCAAAGATGCATTCAATCAAAAGGACTCTTCTTTGTTCACACAGCTATCTTCCCCAAATAGAGCCTGGCAAGAATAACTGGAAGCGTGGACTGCAGTAACAAATTCATTGATGACAGACACTGTGGTACAAAAGGTTTAAACTGGGGGACACTGGAGGCGACGGAAGGTACCCCACTAAACGGGCGAGCCGAGTTAGTGCAGCAACATCAGCAGGGCAGCAGGAGGACCGCTGGCCACTCTGCCGCCAACAGAACAGGAGGGAAGACATACAGGCGGGTTGGAATCACCTAATTGGGGATCTCTTTTCCCACTTCCCTTCAAAACAACGACAATATCTAAAATCTTTCTAGGCCTCTAAAGACTAAATTGAGGTTAGGGATTCACTATGAATGAAAGGTATTCTAAAACAAGAACGTGATGGGTGAGTTGTATGGCAGCTTTTTCCCCACTGTCCTTGATGTATAAGCAGGTGGTACTACCTCGGAGCTCTGAGATAGTGGCTTTACCAATATCAACATCTCAGTATCTCATGACAGTCCGGGTCCACTTGTGAGGATCCCCTGTTATCCTCACACATTGCTTTCAGCCGTTTCTGCTGCTCTCAGTAGCTGTAAAAATTCCAGTCTGATCTCTCTGCCCCTGATACACGCTGAAGCACTCAGACTTGGGGACGTTCCAACTGTGAGCCCAGGAAACGTGAAGCTAATAGTGCACACACCCAGGAAAACCCTGAGACTTCCAGACTCTTAAGTCTGTTAGGTTGCTACAGGCACGGGGAACCCTGTCCAATCTCCAGCAATAGCCCTGGTCTTTTTTTTTTTTTTAATTAATTTATTTATTTATTTATTTTTTTTATCACAACCATAGTGTATCTTTTTTTTTTTTACATGTATCTTCAGATAATGCAAAAGAAAGGAATATATCTGAATATGTGAATCTGATAAACAGTACTTCAGTTTCTATCATATAACAGCATGATCGCTTACACAAAGCTGCATCAGGTATGACTCCGACTAATTATTTTCAACACTGATTCCACATTTTAAGATCTTCATCTGTCAACAGGATATAGAATTGAGATCCATTTTGTGCGCAATCACAGAATTTTCATTTTGTAACAGCTCTTGATACCATACCCCATAAGCTCTTAAATGTGCTAAGTCTCTTAAAGCATTTCTTGTAGGTGTGAAAACAGTGTATTTAACATTTCTGAAAGTACTCAGGAAAGTCACGTCCTCGATCCAGGCGGAGTCACCTTTTGCTCTCCCAGAACGAAGGTGCATGAACTCATAGGCAGTGTCAGCCAGGTAGCAGGAAGCCAGTTAGCAGGGGGCCACGGGTGAGCGGTCTGAGCAACTATCACAACCTGGGAACTCCGCAGAGGCGCTGCCTCATCTTACAGTGTTTCAGGAGGAGCCAGAAATCCAGTCTTCACATGCACTCGCTCAGTCTCTGAACGTCGTCAACAGGAAACTCCTCGAGCACGTGCAGGCCTCACGGAGCGCATCTGCTCCCTGTGATCAGTTTAAGCTGTCTGCTTTTGCACCTCTCTCCCCGCTGGCTTCACCCCACGCTCACGAGTGACACTTTGGGAGAGGGCACTCAGTTTTTCTAATTATTTTTCCAACACTTTAACATGTTAGAGCACTAACAAAATATGCAAAAAGAACATACTTTCTATATTGTAGTAAAAAAAAATTATATTTACATTACTTACCCTGCTGACTTCCTTAGGAGCTGATTCATCTGGGGAATGAAGAAGGGAGGGAGGGAAAAAAAATAAAGTTAGAAGCTCTGGGTAGTTTCTGAAAAACATAGAACATATCATTCACTCTGTAAACCAGAACACTATTTGCAATGTTTCCTCTTGTGATATCTAAGAATTCAGTTTTAAAACTGTAAGGTAAAAAACATAGTATATTTAGAGCTAGATGTATGTATTAATTTTGGAGGGAAATGAAATAACACAACAACTTGCCAGTCATTTTCAAGATTACCTTTTTAGAGGTTCTCAAATATTAGTGCCTGAAAATATGGCTACACGGTATTTTATCCAATACATACACCTAGAAAAGGGATTGTGATATCTGCAATATTCTAAATGACACAGTCCACACGAATGTCTCAAAAGGCCATTAACACGTGTGCTGTCAGGGTTGGGGCCAGCATTTCGCGTTTGCTGAAATGAGACCTGTGCCTGCGTGGCCTGGCGAAGGCCTGGACCACTCCCACTAACAGGCTGCTCCGCACCCCGGACCCGGCAGGCAGCAGGCGTGTCTCTAGCAGCACGGCAGCACTGCTTTCTGGTCAGTTAGGACTGGCGGGTTGCCCTCGTCCAGGTGAGGACTAACGGGCCCTCCCTGCGAGGCTGGCTACGTGGCAAGACTACGCCTGTGTGACCAACAGGGCATGAGACACAAACCGGCCAAGACGCCATGTCAGGTCCGCCGGCTGTGAGCAGCCCGTGCCGGGACCTGGTTCTGACCCAGAGAAAATGTGTTCATGTGGCCCTTCCAGAGGCCGGGGGTCTGGAGACCCCTCCCCACACCCCTCACTGGGAGGCAGCCTTTAATTTAAGGCTGCTGCCTCCTCGTGCCTTGTTTAGCGAGGAAACCCTGTCTTACTACTGCCATCAGCACACACTCACCACACCAAGTTTCCAACGTGTTCTGTGTTACACCGTCACAGCCTCATCCACCTTAACACTGACAAAGGCGTGTCCCACGGGTCCAGTCGGGGCACTGATTCTTCTTTCTCCTTCAACATTCTTATTAACTAAACCACTGAGTCCTGGCGTTTCCTCTTTTCTTCTAATCTTTTTCAGATTTACAGCTTACCACCCATTTCCACAAATAATATTGTCTAGTCCCAAAGCACATTATCAACCAGTAGCCTATAAGCTGATCCCTGAAATCAGTATCTGCCCTGGCAATCATGTATACACACACACACACACACACACATTCACCCACCCAGTTTATCTTTCAAAAATATTCCATCTATCACTTTCTATCATTCCAGAAGTCAGGTATGGATGAGAGAGTTGGACTATAAAGAAAGCTGAGTGCCGAAGAATTGATGCTTTTGAACTGTGGTGTTGGAGAAGACTCTTCAGAGTCCCTTGGACTGCAAGGAGATCCAACCAGTCCATCCTAAAATCAGTCCTGAATATTCATCGGAAGGACTGAGGCTGAAGCTGAAGCTCCAATACTTTGACTACCTGATGCAAAAAACTGACTCATTGGAAAAGACCCTGATGCTGGGAAAGATTGAAGGCGAGAGGAGAAGGGGACAACAGAGGATGAGATGGTTGGATGGCATCACTGACTCAATGGACATGAGTTTGAGCAAGCTCCGGGAGTTGGTGATGGACAGGGAGGCCCGGTGTGCTGCAGTCCATGGGACTGCAAAGAGTCAGACATGACTGAGTGACTGAAATGAACTGAACTGAACTGATCATGCCCCTCAGATGCTTCAGGATTTATAGTAAATTAGACATCAAAGGGCTTCCCAGGTGGCACTAGTGGTAAAGAACCCACCTGCTAATGCAAGACACATGAGACACTCGGGTTAGATCCCTGGGTTGAGAAGATTTCCTGGAGGAGGGCATAGCAACCCATTCTAGTATTCTTGCCTGGAGAATCCCATGAACAGAAGAGCCTGGCAGGCTACAGTCCATAGGGTCGCAAAGAGTCAGACACAGCTGAAGCGACTTAGCATGCATGCAGACTTCAAAACTTGTTGCATATTGCATTTACCTGGGGACTTTTTCAAAATTAGCAAGCTTGGAACTATCAGATAGTAGATGCTCGGTAAACAGTACCTTCTTTGTATTACTATTTAACACATATTTCTTATCTATTTTTCTGATATTTGTTTCATAATGACTCAAATGTTGCATCTGATTTCCCTCAGAATGTAACCATGTTATAGGAAAAACATGGACTTTATCTTATATACTGAAGTCACTTGATAAAAATACCATTTACTCCTTAACTCCTAACCTCCTAACTTTCCTAAACTTCTCTGAAGATGGAACTATTTGATTCAATCATCACATCAAATTTATTAACAGGTTATAAAGTTGCAGAGACTGATATGTTTCTAACTCTTTTAGATTTTTATTGAAGAAGTTCAGTAAACGGGGGTTGAAAAATGAAGGCTGATTAACGCACGGGCAACAGCAGGTGGCCGTCGTGTGAACAAGCTGATTGCAGCCCTAAGGGGAGCGTCCAGGCTGCGACCCCTCTGGGACCGTCCACTGTCCGATCATCACCGCGACTCGAACGTCAGTTCAAGGGAAGAAGAGCTCGAATGTCCAGACATCTGTATATAAACGACCCCTTCGCTTTTTCCTTCAGTTTTGCAGAGTGCTTCTCCAACTCGAGCGTTGAAGATACTCTGCTGATAAGTATTTATACAAACCAACTCCTCTTTTGGTTTGATGGACAGTTTAAAGTATTTGAAAGAAAAGTGCTATCTATAGCTTAACATCTGGCTTTTCACCTCTTTTTCGTACAGATTTAGGACTGCATCTTCTACCCCTTCTTCCGACTCGGAAGCCAAACAATTTCTGCTAAGTGAATGTCAAGTCCATTACATTGAGGGAATTCAGCAGTTCAGCTGAGGGGACTAATGCACCCAGTTAGGATAGGGGAGGCTGGCCTCCTGCTTCCTGCATTCGGGAGTTCCATGGAGCTCCCTTGCCCAAGGAAAGGGCCGGCACCCTGAACACCCTGACGGGGTGACCGCTGCGCGGGCAGCGGCCGGAGGGGGCGCCCCAGAGGCGGCTCGGCCAGAGGCTCCGAGCGGGGCTCGGAAGCCCGGCGGCCGCTCACCTGCTGTCGAAACTCGGGGCAAGACGCCTGACTTCCTTTGACGGCCTCTAAGTCTGGAGTGAAGCAACGTCCTAGCCACATAATTTGACACTGAAACATGATTTTTCCCACAAGAACAGCTGCAAAGTAGCAGAGCCCCTGACTCGCGGACTTCCCTGGTGGGCCCTGGCGGCTGACGCCGTGGCCCCTGGGTGGGGATGGAGACCCGCAGCGAAGGCGCAATGCCGCCAAACCAACAAAACCAAACAGGAGCAGAAGCGCAGCGGCCCCAGGTGTCCGTCCTTCCGTGCACGGGGAGGGAGTGGCGGTGGGCCAGGCGACTGGGAGCCGGGGGAAAGGGCAGGCGAAGCTCCACTCTCAGCCCACGGCTCACCTCCGGCTCGGCGCCCAAGTCCGAACAGGCCGCCGGCCAGTGAGGCGCCCCGGGACCCCGACCTGGAACGCCCTACGGACCCGCAACTCCGGACGGCTCTCTACACTCCCGGCACACACACGCCCCAGCGGTCAGGGCCGCGTTTCACACGGCTCAGGACAGACGCTCACTTACACATGAAAGGTTAAGGAGTCACGGAAAAGACGGAAACGGACGTGGAGGCCAGATGCTGAGTCCTTCGTGACCATCAAGTGAGCAACCAAAACGTTCACAACAGCAGACACTTAATTTTTATGTGGCACTGGGGTCCTGCAAACATTTGTTTACTCAACAACTGTGCACTGCGGGTCCATTATGTGCCGGGCATTTACCCTTGTTCCTAAGGAGCTTGAATTCTAATGGGATGAATAAACAAGAACAAATTTAACAGTTTCAGAAAGGGAGTATTGATGCTCGTTAAAGAGAAATGTTGTTTAAAGAAAAGAAGAAACCATCTTCAATCTAAATATCATTTTGACAATTTCTTAGAACCTTAGGAGAAATAGCCCACGCAGCAAAAAATTTCCTGGAAAATATCCCAGTAAGTACACCTTCCAGCGAGTACTTATTTTTGAGTTAAGTACTCATTGGAAAAGACCCAGATGCTGATTGAGGGCAGGACGAGAAGGGGACAACAGAGGATGAGATGGCTGGATGGCATCACTGACTCGATGGACGTGAGTTTGGGTGAATGCCGGGAGAGAAAGGAGCACAGGGAAACCTGGCGTCCTGTACTCCGTGGGGTCGCAAAGAGTCGGATGCGACTTAGCAACTGAACAACAATAGCACCAAAAGTACAGAATAAATGAAATCAATATCTTGTATAACAGACTTGAAGCCACAGTTACACTGAATATAAAATTTAAACAACTGTCTAATATAGGTCAAAGAATCCATCCATATGTGACATCATGAGCTTTTCTAATCCACCAGAAAATATTTTCATAAAATGCTGATAATAGTTAAAAATGAGTAAACAAATCAAATGAACACTTCAAAATATAAACCCTCACAACCATACATTCAAGGCTGTAGAAATGGAAACACAGATATTAATATAAAAATAACTTGGAGGTTTGAAGCCAAAATGGCAACTAATATGATAATTTTCTTATCATCAACTTAGAAGGAAAATGTAATGTTCGCTAATGTTACAGGAAGAAGAAAAAATGACAAAAGATTTTGATAGCTGGTTTTATTTTAATACTGTGAGAAGATAAAATATTAAATCCTGATATTTGTAGACAAGTACATGAAATATATAAAAAAAAAATCTCCCCAGTATTTTATGAGGAAATGAAAAAAAATTATTTCCTGTTAGATTACTATTCTTTTTTATTCCATTGTTATCCTCCATGAGTGAATGAATGGCTAGAAGCACAGTCATTTCTCTTAACCTTCTAGCCATCTTCCATCATTAAGTCTTTAGGCAAAGAAACTGATTATAGATCAGTAGACTAAACAATGCTTTTAACAAAAGAAACCTCACCTTTCCC